GTTTTACACAAAAAATTATTACTATATGCTTTCATCCAAAATTTTACAGTATCAACTTTAGAAGCCAACTTGGTCGCATTTGCCAATTTTCTAAGGTCGCGCCCGTTACGCTATTCATGACGTTATAAAAGGTTTTCCATACAAGTTTTTATTGATATTTTGTTTGAGTTAAATACCTAATTTTTTATACTATTTTTTTATATTAACGTATCTTGATATTTATGAACAAACACTTTATTATCATGAGAAACGCAGTTTTAGTGTCGCACCCGCTACAATGGAAATACCCAAAATTGACAAAAAAATGCATCTAATAAATTAAAATTAAAAAAAGTAAACAAATCTAAATTTAAGTTTTAACACTCTGTATTAGACATTTCAAGAGAAGTAGCTGGCGGTGGAGAATTATTTAATTTAGACGGTCGTATCAAGTTGCCAGTGATTGGTCGAAAATTTCGGTTGCCAATCTAGGAAGTACACTTTAAGAGATACGAAACACCGGCCATTACCAATTTTATTTCAATTTACAAATGAAAGTTTGCAGACAAACAAATTTGTTAACCATAAAGAAGATTTACTTTACCTTAATTTATCAAGCTCGTCGCAATTTATTGGATTCTTCTTTATATTCAGCATTTTAATGAACTAATTTTCTTTTCCACACCAATATAAATCTGACTTCTGTTTGGAAATTGTTCAATTATGTTATCTAATCTAACTTGTATTGTATATTTTTCTGGATATCAGTGTATCTAATTGAATTTAAAATTTTGTTTGCATGCCCCAATTAACTGGTATTATTATTAATTTATTTTTCTACACACAAATTCCCAAACCTCATATAGAATATCAACGACTATAAATATCAAAAAATTATTTATTTTTTGAAAGTGCTAATTATGATCGCAGTACCGCATAATTGTTAATTAAACACTCTTGATCGATAAAAAACGGCCCGCCACCTTGGTGGAAAGTTTGCCTACTGATTATCTGGATTGTTTTGAAAATTTGCTACCGCAATGATTTACAATATATGACGTTAGATAAAAAAATTTACATTTATATGTGCGTTTTTATAAATATTTAAGAAAAGGTTGGTTATATTATTAAAAATGCTTAATGCTTTATTAAATTCCAGCAATTTCATTGATTGTTTACCATTGACTTTGCCATGTCATGTTTTGTGATAAAAAATTTATATTAAAAGTGTACACAAATTTTGAGTTGATATATGCAAAATCTAAGCATGGCACTGGATTCACCACCCCTCAAAACAACCCTTTACTAAATTGTATTGAAAAATTTTAAGTAGAAAAATGCACAATAATAACTACAAAAATTTATTCTGTCAAGTTATCCATGAACAATCATTAAAATAAAATTAAACTTATAGTCATAGTACCATGTTACCATTGTTGTAAAAATATGGCGTTTTTTGCTGCAACAATACAGTTTATCAAGATCTACACTTTAAAACAAATCCGGTTAAAATCGCACAATAAATATTTGTTTAAGAAATTTTGTTTGTTCCATTGTAGCCGTATAATATAGTATAGTATATAAGGGATATTTTAATAAAGCACTTTTCTGCAGAGAAGTGCTTTATTAAATACCAAAACTAAAATTATAATTTTTTTTTTTGGTAAAAAGTATTTTTTGACATTTTTGTGTCGTTTTTTTAATTACTAATTAAATTGAAAAGGCAACAAAGTAAATGGATATCGGCATAAGCATTACTCTTCGACTATTATTTTATATGTTTTTATTCACATAATGCCTAAAGTACCCAAAAATTTAATCTCGAATTTTATTTATCTTATCAAAATTTAATATCGAATTGAAGTAAAAAGGCACCTTTATCTACTTCATCGTTCAAGCACACTAAAGTGCATCTATTAATTATTTAAAAATTTAAACTTTAAATTGTATTTTTACTTGAAAGTGATTTTAAGAACCAAAAATGAAAAAAGAGCAGGAAATGAAAGTGGTAACCCAAGCAGCATTTTAAGTTTAAATAACTACAAATTTACTACTAAGTCAACTTTAAATTTTTTTTTCGGTTAACCAAAACGGTTTTATAACGGTATAGATACGAAAAATTACCAAATTTGGGGAATGGTTTATTTCGTTATTTTACCCACATAATAACCTTTTTGATCTACTAAGAGAATTACGTAATAAAAACAATATAAATACCACAAATTTACGTAAAAATAACGCTATAATTACTAACTGTTTGCTCTCTCTTTCTTAAACATTGATATTCGTAATTTCTTTGTTCTTTTAATTTATATTTTACAAAATGGTAGGTACTTAAGTAATTACAAAGTAATAAAGGCCACCCTAGAGTAAAATTAAAAAATATAACTTAAATTGTCAAAACCATTGATATTTTGCATTAAAACTCAAGCGCACATTATTTTATTGATAAAAATAGGTATGATACGTCTTAAAAATTATATGCCCTCTAAATATTTTACGGTTTTAAGAAAAATTATTGCTTGGGTAAAAATTCAACAAAACTTAAAACCTACAAAATTTTATAAAATCTTTTAAAAATCATTTAGTTTTAATCATTTTTTAATAACTAAAACTTTTCTTATTATATTTTAGAAAGATATCCATGAAAAAATATTATATAAATGTTTAGATAAGTAATGGATGCCATCTTAAAAAACTCATTATGGCGGCCTAAAAAAAAATTCCCGCAAAGTTTTATTTTTCACTTTAAGCTTATTCTTCCTTGTTTAGTCAATATTATTAGTATTTATTACCCACTAATAACCCTAAAAAATACCAGGCGAATAGGAATTATTTACGGTTATAAAGTGGTCTTAATATCGTAAAATTATGACTTATGAGTAACATTTACCATTAAGTAAAAATTCTGACGTTAAAATTACCGTTAAATTTTCCTTTAGGTAAAATACACTTATAAGTAATTTTCTTTCGTAAAAATTACGTCCCTCATAATACTTTAAAGTGTTGAAACTTAAGGGTTATTAAAATAGGTAAAAATAACATAAATAAAACGTATATTATAACTTTAAAAAAAGTTTTACTTCAAAGTAAATTTTGAAGGTTAATTTAACAAAATATTTACTTAAATTAAGTAATATTTCCTCAAAGCTCTACGCTTTTACTTAAAATGCTGCTTGGGAATGGAAGTGGCAGAGAAAGAGAAAGGAGACGAACATTTATGTCGTCGTTGTAAATTTGTTTTGTTTTTGTTGCGGTACCTTTACGCCCAAGAAAAACTAACGCAATATTTTATTACAATATTTTATGATATATACCTACTACTTTAATTTTGCAGGAATATTAAATGGACCTGTTATACGACGTTTAATGAAAGATCAAGCATTCAAAAATGCTATCAAAGTTGACTAGCTTGTCGCATATGGCAGTGTTAAAACCGTCATTGAAAATGTTTTTGGTTCATATCGGGCCTAAAATTGGCGCCAATTCATTGAAAAAATGCTTTCCGTTTTGCAAAGAATTAGCGTTAATATGTCATTTAAAATACATTATCTTTTTTTTCATCCTGATAAATTTGCATTTTGAGGTGATTGAGCAGAGCATTTTATTACGAAATTATTTTAAATCCTAGACGTCCTAGAGAAAGACTTATTACATTTTTGAAATCAGCGGCCCAAAATTAGTTAAACTAAGCTGGAGTACTTAATGTTAGGAAAAAAAGTTTGTAAAACTATCATAGTGTAATTATCCTAGATGACAAGTTTAAATCATATAACTATCGTTATATCAGTGGCGGCTCGTCAGGGTAGGCCTCTGAGGCCGCGCCTCACCCTTAAAATGAAGGAACGAACGACTTTTTGTATTTATATTTTTGCCTATTACAAGTGTATTTTTACAACAGTTCTACCCAATAAAAAGTAAAAAACCAATCAATCATACTAAGCGTAAATAAAAATCCAGGCGCAAAGCGCGTCAAGTTAACGTGCATCGTTGAGAGTCGCTTGGACAGAGGCGAAATTTTCACAGCCTCGGAAGCTCCAATTTACCTCTTGAAAGCGAAAATGACTCACCAACAAAAATATCGCCGTAAGTTCGCGAATAAACACCGTAGTCTACGGTCCGTAGATGAGGCGAAATTTAGTTAGCTTGGCTTGTTCTGATTGGTGGTTTTATCACATGACCGATAATAATCGCTTGTGGGGGTCCGTTTATCGTGGGATGCCAGCGGAGACAAAGAAGGTTGCCAGTCTTCTCTTAGCGTTTGTTTGAATTTCTTATTTAATTATTGTAGGGAACACACTAAGGTAGATTTAGCAGTTTTTATTAAGCAAATTTTATATTTTGAAATAATAGATTGCATAATTCTTCAATTAGAGACGCGGTTTGAAAATTTAGAATTACTTTTAAATCTCACTGCAGACCCACAATTTTAAGACCAAATAATAGATAAATTTGCATCTTAAAAGATAGACGTACTTATAGTATTTTATATTTTTTAATACTTAGGTAGGGGTCGACTTTTTAGTTTTATTTTTATTTTTTGATTAATTTATTTATTTTTAATTTTTTTAAGACTATATTTTTAAGTTTAAGATTAAAACTAGTCTTTGATGTGATATTTTGTTTGTTTTGTTTTTTAGAGTTTATTTTTTGGTTTAGTAGGGCTATCGGCTCCATTTTAAAAAAGGTTAACGCGTCGCAGAATAATACCTCCCGGGTGACGTGGAAATTTATTCGTATTTAGACAAAATTAACCTTATGTAGCCTCACCCTCCTGTACACCCACGAGCCGCCACTGCATTATATAATATAATAGCGCCATCTGCGGGCAGTGCTAATTTTGGAAAATAATGTTGTTAGATTTTTAATATATATGACTGTTTTTATTTATTTGCTTTTTATTAAAATGTTAAGTCTATTGTCTCATTTATTTTTATATAAAAAAAATCACTGTAGGACGGCCGACAAAGCAGCAACAATGTCATTAATCATTATTTCAACGTTTCAAAATAAATGCTTACCTAAAAGTTGTAAATTCCTCATCTTCTGATATATCTTCATCTGCATTTTCACTTATCTAAAAATAATATTAAATATTCATGTTAGTAGAAATATTAACATTTAATGATTAAGTAAAAAAGTTGTAATAAAACATAATTTATTTTATTTTAACTATTAGTTATCTAATAAAATTCAAAATGTATCTTTTAATAAATTAAATAAATATTACCTTGGCATAAGAAAATAAAAGGTATAGGAATTTTTAACACGAAACGATTAAATAAAAAACCAATATATGTACCTATAAAAATACCTGAAAGTCAAAGTCGCTACCATCAGAATTAAATCCATTTAAACTGCCCGAATCGTCCATTGTAAATTTTAATATTTTATTTTATATTATTTATAAATTAATTAGATAAGGTTGTTTACTTACTAAATCTACATTCTAAATAAAAATAAACTACAACTGATTTGCTTGTTTTTAAAACTGGTTAGTTTTTTATTCATTTTAAATGTATATTTCGTTTGAAATTTTGAAGGTCTTGAAATTATTTTGTATAATTTATGTACAAAAAGTTAAGAGTTAATAATTATTAAATTATTTAATTTTTTATGGATTATAAATGTTTTTAAAAATTACATATTTTTTTATTGATTTACTGGATGATTATTAAAAGTATATTTTTAAATTGATCTTTGTCAACTTGTATAAAAATTTTAAGGTTTTAAAACTGTTTTTTTATACAGATGTAAATTAAAAAAAAATCTAAAACACACGCACAACCGTGCAGAAAGTAGCACTTTTTGGCACGCTTACTTTCCGCACGCTCGACATCGCAAAGTAGTACTTTCCGCACCCTTGTAGAAAAGACACCTGGTTTAAAAAATTGTTTATATACAGGGTGTGCAATACTTTAACAGCAGATTCAACGTACAAAAATAGGAAAATAACGACAATTTTATTTAAATTTTTAGACAATTTTTTAATCTAACAAAATAAAATAAAAATTTAATAGAATTAGTTAGCAAAAAAAATTACAGTAGGTAGTAATAATTTACAATGAAAGTGTTTCTTGAAATTTATTTCCAGAAGGTGTATATTAAAAATGATCTCTATAACATATAAGGGGTGTACAGGATTTTGTTTAGGAGAGGGCAATTCTAAAAAATTGGTTCTAAAAAAATTTATTAACATTTTAGTTAGTTTTTTATATAATACTTGCATTTGAATAATGCTCTTTTGTATTGAAAATATAAAATGAAAACACTGATATGTATACGAGGTGTGTTCAGAAAATATCGGGAATTTTCGTTTTTTGAAACAAATATTTATTTATTCGTCTACATTAATGTTGTCGCCTTGAAAATAGTCCCAATTGGATATTATGCACATGTGCCAGCTCTTCTTTCAATACTCGAAACACTTCTAAAACTCGATCTTTGGGATAGCCTTTAGTTCTTTCAGCGATGCGCTTTTAATGTCATCTATGCTTGCAAAACGACGGCCCTTTAAGGTTCTCTTTAAAAAGTCAAACAGAGGCATGTCTGGCGAATATGGAGGCTGGGGCATCATTACAGTATTGTTTTTGGCCAAAAATGTTGTTCAAAATTTAACAATTTTAGAACAAATTTTGCTGCTACGCGTTTCATACCCAAAACATTCGAAAAAAATCATGGGATGAGCCAATCGATATACCAACATCATCAGCGACTTCTCTGATGGTTTATAACCATTTCTTCCACTTTTTCCATGTTTTTATCGGTTGTTAATGCGCTTGTGCGTTCGGGGCGTTCGTCATCTTCAACGTCTTCACGGCCATCTTGGAAAATCTTATATCACTTGTAAACTCTTGTTTTACTTATAGCAGACTCACTATAGTTCTTTGTTAACATTTCACAGAATTTATTTCATTTTTTAAGCAAAATTGGATACAAATTCTTTGATCCATTTCTTTTAACGAACGAAAAATCGCCGAGCTCATAAAACACGTCTAACCTTAGCGGCTGCCACAGACAAAGTAAACAGTGTTGCCACCTATAACTTTTTTTTCGTAATAGACGCATGCGTCAAAATGTAATAGATTTGGGATTTTTGGTAATAGACCATTTTGAATCAAATTTTTTTGATTCTTTGACGTTTTACCGTTGTCATAAGAATAAAATTGAATTTTTACATGATGCTTTATAATCTGTGCATGATGCTTATGCTATTTTAATAAAAACTTTATAAACACAAATTTAAGCACATAACAAACGTCAAACACTCAAGCAGTGTTGCCAAACGTACGATAATTTTCCATAGAAAGAATAATTATCCTTTTTGTAAGATAATAATTATACGTACGTATACAATGTACGAAATCACATGTAAGATAAAATTAAAATGTACAATAATTTCATGTAAATCAAATTGCACAAGAGAATAAAAATACCCAAAATTAACAAAATCTTAAATTTTGGATAAAAAATAAGTTTATTTTAATTAACTCTTTACTTTTTATTTTTTTTTAAATAATAAATTTAAAATATATAACAAGATTTAAAACACTTATATTAGAAAAACCAAGAAAAATTTAATTCTACAATAGTTTTGATGCGCTGCGACAATAATCTTTTGTGGGCTGTCTGGCAAGTTACCAGTGGCAACAATAGGACCACAATAGAATATTTAAAAAAAAATCTTACTAGGAAAGAAAAAAGTAATAGATTTACATCGTTTCGTAATAGGGTAATATATTTTCGCTAAAAGTAACAGATCTATTACTAAAGTAATAGGGGTGGCAACACTGAAAGTAAACAATGAAAACAGCTAAAGTTTTTATCATACTTCGAGGGCATGTATACCAACATAATAAAGAAAATGTTATGACAACCGGACCCTCCGAACCCGCGAAATTTAACAATTCCCGTTATTTTATGAACACACCTCAATTTCAATTTCAATAGTCTACCTGACTGTGATATTAATTTTATAACTTTAGGCTCATTAATTAATATATGTAATCTACACCTAAATAATATTAACAATTAGTTTTTAGTTTCATTGTATTGCATTGTTATGTTTATAAGTTATATAAATATTTATTTTTCTTATAATTTTGTCTTGTAATTGGAATTTTGTATTCTGTTGGGCAAATAAATATTTTATTATTATAATATTTTATTTAAGACAGAAAAACAGCATTCATTAAAAAATAATTGCCGATTGCCCCTTCCTCTATAGAAGCAATAAACCAATCAGAGCACGGCATTTTCGATGGATGCCAATAAATAAAGATCCTTATGTAATTTCAAAAAGTTTGAATTGCATAATTTGAGGGAAAAACAATCTACAAAAAAAGATGATGGTTTTGCGGGAAAAGTAAGAAAATCATAAAATTTATGGTAAATTCAACTTTGACCTTGAATAATTTTTGAGAAAATGAATTTAACATAAAAATTTTGAAGAACGTTCAATTTTCTACAAATATAAATATTAAGAGCTCAAATTTATACAGCATAATTTTGTTCGATATTCTGAACAATATTACGAAAAAAAAATAGGGTAAAGTAGACAGTTATCGAATACTTTATAGTTATTGGACAATTAACATTAATACTGTAAAAACAAGAGTTCTATAAATAGTTACCTTAAAGTCAAATCATTAGATGACGCTGTATACAATTATAACTATCTCAGTCGGTAATAATATAGAACTACTTTATTTTGGGTCAAAATATAGGACAAAAAAGTTCGCACATTACTTGTGGTAAGATTTTTGTTTAAATTACAATAAAAAATATTTCTAAAAAGTGTACAGATCAGTGTGTGGTATAAAAGTGTTCCTCATGGTTTAAACATTGTCACTTTAATGCGTTTTAATTTTAATTCTGAAAACAAACAGTGGCAAATGGCCAGTGTCCAATTAATGGTTGGTAAAAAATGTAAATTTCTATTATTGGACATATGTCCAATATCATACTCTATTTATATCCCGGACATTTACCAGCCAATTAAGCCAAAGTTAAGCAGTTTTTGAAATAAAGTAAATTCCATATTAAATGTAAAATTGATTATATTTCAAAAACAGTTCTACTTTTATAACTTTAGACGACATTTTCGGATTCATTTCATAGGAATTGACTGCTAAATGTCATGGATCAAATTGCTGTTGACGAGAATTATTGGTGGCTGCTTTTCCGCTATGACATTTTTTACTAATTCATTTTTAGAGAGTAAGTAATAGGTAGTGATTCCTTCATCATAGGACATGTTGCAGAACAACAGTGATTTAAATACATTATTAATACAAAATTAATAAATACTTTTACATACCACCCGAAAAAATATTAGATATATATATAAATCATCCTGTTCCGGCCTAAACATTATAAAGGCTTCACAAACTAAGAGATACCACACTTGAAACTATTTCAAAAGTCAGGCCAAGGAATTAGCAGTTACCTTCTGAATCCAGAAAAGGGATGAGGAATCCGAGAAAGAAATATGGGGCAAAATTTACCAAGTGTACCAGGTGAAAAAAATTTTGTCACCGATTTTGTTTAAACTTTACTTATTTGTTGTTCTTATAACGAAGAATCATAGCATACATTTTTTTTGCTCTAGGATTGTTCATTCAAGAGTTATGGATTATTGAAATTTATCGATTTTTTACTTTTTGGTGAAATCGCTTTTTATTTAAAAATTCATAACTTCTGTTCATCTCTTTATTAAATATTTCAATTTAACCACCTTAAATGATTTTTTCCGTACTTTTCAATGGGCTATACCGTTTTTGCAAAAAAATAAAAATTGCAATTTTTTTTTAAAATTTTGCAAAATTTTGCATTTTTTGAAACAATGTGTATTTTTTAATTTTTTTTAAAATAGCATAAAATCTAAGTTTATTATGCTACCTTTGAATAAAAAAAAAATTTAGAGTGGGCCCGACATGTAGAAGGGAAGTTTTTCATATTTGAATGCCGCACGGTCTAGCCATCGAATAGCTACTACACTGCCGTATGCGTTTATACCTAGTAGATGCGAGTAAACGAATACAAAATGATAATTTAAAATGTAAAATTATGTTTGAG